AGATCTAGATCATAGTTTAAGGATGGTGCCAAACACAACTAGAATAGGACAGCAATAAGAAGCTGGAAATTGTCAAGTGCAGGAATTTTGAAGCATGCCTTCCAAAGATGAGCATCCATTATGGTTGCTTCTATCCTGTGGAATATCCTCAGGATATGTTTAGCACCAACCCTGCTAACTTTTAGAAGAGCTAGCAAGACTTGGTTTTTCCAGTAGGCATTGGGGCAAAGTGATTTGTAACCCCATTTGATTATTTTTAATGATGTTATTGTCCCCCAATGCAACCATATATTTCTGTTCCATATCTTATTGTATTTCTGTTCCTATTTTCTGGTATGAACCCTAAAGAGACCTTGGCGATTGAGGCAATTAATCAGCAGTATTGTTTAGTTTGAAAAGATAAAGCAGCCAGTTCAAAATATTTAAAAGAATTTCATGTAGATGAGAAAGATTTATATCCTTTTGCTATATAGGGCAGATTTGGTTCCAATTACAATGAAAAGGATTTTGATAAAACATAAGGGAGAGTTTTCAAGGATATAAGCTGTTTTGGTAGACTCCGAAATATGCTAATGATGACATTTGTCATTGGCAGTAAGGTAAATCAGACAGGCTTTGGAAATTTTTTAAACTCTAGGATTCCCAAATATACAAACTTTACAATCTTGAAGGGTTCTGTGACCCATCCCTTTCTCAGAGAATCCATAAAAATCTGTTCCACAGGTGAGATTTATTTCGGAATGTTACACTTTGCCCAATGATCATCAATGTCATTTCCAGACTTTCCACTAATTCCAATCTGTAGTCTCAGTTTGGCTCAAGGGAATGTTTGCATTATCTTTAAAATAAAAAAAAACCCTACCTGGAGCAACCTTGGGTGGAGATGTGAGAAACTATTAAGTGGCCCAACCAGTTCTGAAGAAGGAAATATCAAAGTAAGAACATGACTTCCCAGCAAGGCTCAATGAAGCTTTTCTGGTCTCTAAACATATAGTCAGTATTATAGGAGACCAAGAGATTTCATAACTACGAATAAGGATTGGGCTACTGACTGCACAATTACAATCAGTTGGAGAAATGGCCTGGAAAGCTACTGTATATCTTTAGGTTCATGGAGCTCTGAATTTCACTGATTCTATACCAATGTTTCTCAACCACTGCAACCGTAAAATGGCTAACTGGAGAATTCTGAGAGTTGAAGCCCTGTAGGACAGAGGTCCCCAATCTTTTGGGCACCAGGGACCGGTTCCATGGAGAACAGTTTTTCCGTGGACCGGAGAGTGCGTGGGTTTGTGTGCTGCCTGCATCCCACGGATGGGGCTTTGCTTGTTTGTGCGGACCGGTTGATGGCATGCCACGGCCCAGTACCGGTCCATAGACTGGGAGTTGGGGACCCTTGCTGTAGGAGAAGGCGTGGCAGAACCTGGCTTGTTTGTGTGGACCGTTTGCTGGCATGCCATGGACCGGGGGTTGGGGACCCTTGCTGTAGGAGAAGGCATGGCAGAACTTGGCAGTAGAATTAAAAGAGGGATCAGCCTAGAATCCCTACAAGCAGACTAAGTCCAATCCCTCTTGAATTCCATGTACCCTTATCTAATTCCAAGCAGTTGCTAACCTTTAGTTGAGAAGATTCTTGTGAATAGACTGTTTAGCAATAAGTCAGTTTAATTGGACCTTCACATATGGACCTGGTCTTTCACAACTGACAAGTCTGCGCTTCTTAAAATTATCGAGGCTGAGAAACTCTGTTCTATACTACAGACTCCTGCAAAAGGGTAAAGTGGTAAAGTTTCAAATGACAGGAGACAAAACAATGATAATAGGAGGTTACAAGTGGCCATTCTGGGAAAGACTTCAATTGGTCAATGACCAAAATAAAGGATGACCTGTTCTGATCAGAAGGACTTAACTGGCAGAGACTGGGAAAGATTTTAATTATCAATAATGTTTGGTATACTGTTCGTTTATACAGAAATTAATGTATGTGTAGAGCTTTTGCTTCAATCATATTCTCATAACCATCACTGTGAATCATCTCATTCTACAGTATTCTGCTAGTTATCTGGAAGTAACGATTACTTCCTATTTCCCCATCTTCCTCCTTGCCTACCTCATCATTCCATTCTGCTAGTTACCTAGCAGTAAAAAATAACTTCTTCTTTCCCCATCTTCCTCCTTTCCTATCTCATCTTTTATTCTTCTGCTAATTATCTAGAAGTAAAACAAAAAACAAAAAAAAAAACTCCCCACCCATCTCAGAAGAAGGAAGTCACAAATACAAACCACTTTCAGATTGTGCAAAGAAATGTACTTGGATCTATTTATAGGCATACTGAGCCACAATGATGCCAAAATGATGTAACATGTGTGATGCAAGCTCCAATATTTCATGCTTATGTCACAACACCACAGAGAAGTTATATAAGTAGCAATGCTTGCATTGCAATATTCATTTTGTCCTTTGCCCCTGCTCTCCCTCCCACCCCATGGACACTTCTGGATACCTACCACAAGACTAGCTGGGCTGGAAGGATACTTTATTTTTACTGCCATGGTCATTATATCTATCTTGTTTTGCTTGCTCAACAATTTTGGGTTAGTAGGCACTGAAGTAAACTCATGGAACCAAATATCCTTTTCAGAGAAAGACATAACAAACAAGAAGCAGGACAATTTGGCAGAAGGAGGTACCCACCTCAGACAGCAGGGGTGGAAATCAGCAGTGAAACATTGGAGGATGGAGTTGTATGGGCCCCACCATCAGGATTTCACCTTCAGGACTAGCATTTTGCCCATAAATGTGCATCACCTGTAAGAAAGGTCTGAAAGCTACTCATGTCAGTTTTCAAACATGTAATGGGAAGCACCATTTTACCCTAAAGCAGCAAAATATCTCAAACCAGATGATCTTGGGGACTGGCTGAAATGGAGTACAAGCTAATGGACGGCAGTAGGCAGGGCAAGTATATATTCAGAGAAGTAGGGGGACAAGGCATCTGTGGCATTTGAATTATTTCTGAGCTACAAATCCCAGAATCTCTTGCATCTTTCCTAAGACTGCTGGGAGTTGAAATTTAGAACATATGACAGGCCAAAAAGGTTAACAAATCATAACAGATTTATGTATGTAAAATACTATTCTAAAAAAACAAACCATGTTATAGGTTAGGGCAGGGGTAGTCAACCTTGGCTCTTTTATGACTCGTGGACTTCAACTCCCAGAATTCCTGAGCCAGCATAGCTCAGGAGATGAAGTCCACGAGTCATAAAAGAGCCAAGGTTGCCTACCCCTGGGTTAGGGGGATAGCCTCATTCACATGATAATATGATAAAAGATAATATGGTTTGGTTGGTCACTCAGTTTACACCAGTGGTTCTCAACCTTTTTAATGCTGCGACCCCCAACCGGTCGTAAGTCGAGGATTAAACCGGTCGTAAGTCGAGGACTAAACCACCCGTAAGTTGAGGACTATCCAACCGGTCGTAAGTTGAGGACTTTCCCTGCCCGGGAGCGCCACACATGCGTGGTTCCGCCCCCTGCGCCGGCCGAGGCGTAGCTGGCAAGCGGCAGAGACGGAGCAGGCCGACCACCAGCTGGCCCAGCTCAAGGCAGGTAAGGCACCCGCCGGAACAGGGGGAAAAAAATGGCGGACAGCCTTGCTTGGCGACCCCCCTGAAATGGTCGATCGACCCCAAATGGGGTCGCGACCCATAGGTTGAGAACCGCTGGTTTGCACCATGTTGTGGAAACAAGCCGAACTCTAATGCTAATTATGCTGATGCGGATATTAATAAACCTGTCAGGAACATTACTAGCATAAAGAGGCAGCAAAACAAGTTTTTCATGTACACATTGCTGACCTTCCCATTATGTGGAGGAAACGTATTGTATTTACAGTATGTACAAGCTTTTCATGTGCTAGGCAATCTATATCTTGAATGACCACTAGATGGCAGCAATGAATAAAGGTTTTCTATATTGCTTTGCTAATCTAGTGGCTGTCTGAGGTATTATAGCATAGTAATAATACAGTACATCCACAAATGCAATTTATAAGTTGTTTTCAAAACAAATGAAAGTGGACTGCTAAGCAACTTAACTATTAACTTCCATCAAAATAAAGAATATTTGTACATAAGATAGAAGGAAAATTCTCATGAAAATAAAATATAATTTCCCCTTCAAAATTTAACATCTACTTTGGGTTTGACTTACTGTATGACATGAATCCTAGGCTACTAGATAATTGATATTCCTCTAGAGAAACTTGTTGTAAATTGTACAAGAGATAAATAGGCACAAGGAATACTATCCCCAAATTACACATTTTCTCCTAAAGACACAGCACAAAAAGATGCTGTTAGGACATATTTGGGCCATGGTAAGATGGAGGAAAGCTCTTTGTTCGATGTTTCACAAAAATGTTCCCCCTTTAATGCAGAAAAGATATGTTAAATAAAGTAAGATGTCGTTCCAGTTTGAAGTGAGTATGACTGCCTTACTTACAGAAACATAAAAAACCATACGGCAGAAAAAGATCTAGTGGACCATCGAGTGTGCCCTTTCAGGTTTTCATCAGTTCCAGGTCTTCTTGTCTCATCCATGTATAGTTTGTTCTAGTAGCCCACATATCATCATATTGTCTTTATTATCCAATAACTGTTGAGGACCTTATTAAATCTGGGAGATATCTGAGCTGCATTGACTCTCTAGTTTGTGTCAGTTTCATATTTTGAGCTAGGCAATGAAGCTTCAGGGCCCTTTGCCCAAGGGCCCCTAATAGTAAGGTAAGTACCAGCCAGGATTTGAACCCTGGTCTCCTGCATCAAAGATGGCACTCTAACCACTACACTCTCCATGTGTGTGTGTGTGTGCGTGCGCGCATGTGTGTGGTCTTTCAACATTCTATTTTTGTTACCTTGGAAGCTAGATATTAAGTTTATAAAGCAGAACAGAATGATCTGAAATAAATCAAATGAAAATTAATCTCTCTTGCCAGGAAATCAAGGCCCGAACGCTAGCATTTCGGCAACAGCAGGCCATTTCAGCTGAGGCTGGGTGCAACAAGGAGAATATCAAGAAGAACCGTTACAAAGACATCCTACCCTGTGAGTTAACAAGAATGGAAAGCTCCCTTCCCAAGGACAGTTTGCATTCGTAGCCTGGAGGACCAATCTGTCCTTTTGAGCAATCACTCTAGCTGGGCTACCCTATTCTTCAGTTTGAAGTACTCCATCTCAGGGACAGTTTGACTGACACACAGCTGCTCTTCTCCAGGAAAAGAATGACCTAGTCCTAGTGTTCTCTTCTCCGATTTTGCAGCTGCAGATTTGGGGTCCATTTTATGATGGCAAAAGAAGTCTCAGGTTCATCAACCAGGAGTTTTGTAGCTCTATAATAAGCTGTAGCATGGTTATCTAAAAATCTACTGAAAACATGGGGGGGGGGACACAAAAGAAGGTTTGCCAATAGAAACAATGGTTATGAATGCTCCACCCCGCCAAAAAATAAATATTGTCTCTCGCTAACATTTTTGCATTTCCCATCGCAACTCTGCTATTTTACTTGAAATACTTGAGACCTGATATCTCTTTCAAAAAAATAGTATGTACCTAAAGGAAGAAAACAAATATATATATATATTAGCCCATCAAGAAATCAAGCATAGAATTCATCAGAATTGTTATTTATTGAATTAGTTATTTGGAAATTCATATAAGTTGGATTTCCTCTACAGCAGTGGCAAATTGACAACTTTAAGATGGGTGGACTTCAACTCCCCAGAATTTTGGGAGCATGCTGGCTAGGGAATTCTGGGAGCTGAAGTCCACACATCTTAAAGTTGCCAAGATTGAGAAACACTATCTAGAGTAGTGTTTCACTCAAGGTGACGTACACAGCATTCCCTACTTATGAGTCCTGCGGGAGAAGGGCGGTATAGAAATTAAAATAATAATAATAATAATAATAATGATTTCACCCACAATAACAACTCTGTGACATAAATAGGAATGAGAGAGAGGGCTGGCCCAAAGTTACTAATGAACATCCATAGCTCTCCAGTCCAAGTGCTATCTCTGAACTACTACAGTATATCACATTGGCCTGAGAAGCAGCTGTCACAGGAACATTCTTGATGCCACAACTGTGTGTTACAACCTCTACCCATTTTAACATATCGTTTCATTAAAAAAGGAATGGCTTAAATTAGTAGTGGCCATCATAGCGACTTTTTTTTTTGGACAATATTTTTTCCACAATATAGGTTTCCACAGATGCACAGGAACATCATAAGACAAACTTTGCAACTTTCATACTTAGGTCCACTGTTAGGAATCAAGTATATAAGGGTGGAGCTTATGTCATATTGTCTTGGTGCATGTTTCATGACTTCCGTGCACACACACATAATCACAGATGCCGATAGCTGTGCATTTAATTACACTGAAAATGCAAGGTGTCAATTAATATAACGTAGCTTGCTCCAACCTGAGTGTTTTCTGGGTGCATGGACCAACTCCCCAAATTCTCAGTATTAACCATATGACTTGGGTATTCTGGTAGTTGACATCTACACATTGGTAGGAGCCTGGTTCATGGAAGATTAACATAACTGATCTAATGTTTTAAATCTTAGGAAGGAAGCCATCTTTCCCATCTATTCCCAGACCCCTTTTCTCCACTGCTCTCCTGGTCCCTGTCTGTTCTCCATGATATTAAGTTCTAATTGTGTTTCTCTTACAGATGACCAAACCAGAGTTCTTGTGAATTTACTAGCAGAAGAATGCCAAACAGATTACATCAATGCCAGTTTCATTCAGGTAACAGATATTCTACAGCCATTAAATAGCAGATCCCTAAAGCAAAACTTCTCAGAGCTGAGCAACTGGTATCTCACCATTCAAGATTAAAACTGAAAGCACAAGTTGGTCTTACGTATTGTAGCCTATACACTGTATCTGTGGAGAGCATCTTCAGCAGTGTTGCTGAAAGAACCAAGGGGCCCCTGCTTAGAAAGAGCCTAGAACAGGGGGTCAGTCAGGGAAGCTATTACTGTTGCTTTGGGGAGGGGATTTTAGTCTTGGTTTAATGTCATGGTTCTGATAGATGAGACCAATTAGAACTGAACTCCAAGATGTTTATTGGATACAAAGTATCGGCACGGTCAAAAGTGAAACGGAGACTAAAATCCTCTCCCAAAAGCAACAGTAATACAAAGTTACAGTTCCCACCCCACTGGCAATGCAATCAACTACGTTTCCTTATAATACATCCAGGTGGCCTTTCTAACACTAGGATCATCCTCACTAGCTGAGGGAAACAGAAATGACCTTGGTTCCCATGGGACAGAAACCTGTTTAGTCTATTAGAAAACTTCCCATCCCCCCCCCCAATCTTGTGGCAACCGGGAATGAGGAAAATGGCTTCGGTCAGGTCCGTTGCAAGGTTGACATAATCATTCTAATGATGGCTGCTTTACTGTGGAAGGTATTCATACCCATACCTCAATGCCTCCGTTTGAGACAAATGAAAAGAGGCAAGACTAGCACAATATCATGCAGAGATACTACATGCGCATCTTCCAAAGATATTTTAGTCTTGCTTCTATGCTCTTATTTTTCAAGATACACTGGCAGCTCTCTTGTGGTATGCTAATACACTCAACTACCACCCAGTATGAGAACTAGTGCACCAGAAAATGTCAATGGCACTTTATACAGTTCAGAAAAGTGCCTGATATCATTTTGAAAACATGGTTACACATTTGCATTCCCTGTGAAATGCTCTGTGAAATGCTTCAGCGGTATCTATACAAGGACTCTATTTCTTCAGAAGTAAAGCACTTTTAAGAAACCAATTCAATGTCCATATTATTCGCTTGAATGGACATTAAGTGGCTCTATTTGCACGGTAGTAATTAAATGACCCAGATAAAGGACGAAAGCGAGTTTTTGAAAAATAAATAGATCAAAAGGGCAGCCGATGACTTCCATTTTGTCCTCCTTACAGGGTGTGGACAACAAGAGATGCTATATCGCTACTCAGGGGCCTCTTGCCCATACAGTGCTTGATTTCTGGCGTATGATCTGGCAATACAAAGTGAAGGTAAGTTGCAGCACTGAGTTGCAGTGACTGAACTCAAGGCAGAATCTTAAAGGACAATGGGATTCCCTAAGTTATAACTTTGCCCTCAGGATCCTGATAAAAATGGAAGCTGTGGGCGGGGGGGGGGGGGGG